TACACTGGAAAAACAATATAGAAATAAGTACAACATTCTTAAATTAAGTGTATTTACCCTTGATTTGAATAAGTAAATTAATATTTTTACTCATTCTATAATTATCTTATTACTAAATAAGATAATTAGATAATATGCAATTGAAATAAGGCAATGCAATTGTGTTTTCTTTTGTTAAATGTAAATTGTCTTGTTCCATTGGCAAAATCTCTCTTCAATTCAAGAACAAATGCATTTATTTTAAGAAAAAATGACTTATCTAGATTTAGATTTTTTTTCCAGTGTAGTAAGGGAATCTAACACTTTTATCTAAATAAGTAATATAGTCTTAAAAATAAGTGCATTTGTTCTAGAATTGAGGAGAAAAGTGAGACAATATCTTATTTTGAGAGTAAAAATACTAATTTCATTGGAAAGTCGTCTTATTTAGCTACTCTAAGTAAGGGTAAATACATTTAATTCAAGAAATGTTTATTTCTAGATCGTTTTTGCAGCGCAGCGAATTCAGCTGGAAGAAAAGGCTTTTACTGAAGACTTCTTGAAAATCTGGAACCTGGTTTGAACCTGGTTTATTGGTCAATAATTGGATGAAACAAAGAGCAGGGTGAAAGCCATTTTGAAATCTTGCTGGTTCCATATAAAAAAAGTTACAGGCTCATATTGTTCTCTTACACCCTGCATGCATCTTTAAAACTGACCAATATAAGCTCCATATAAAAACTAAATTACTCTTTTATATTTTGAGACTGATACACCTACAGAGGTGTTTCTTTAAAAGTGATTTAGAAAACATTAGTTATGGTTTATGAGTTTTTAGTCATTTTGAAAACTGTCTCATAAATGCCAAGACAATCCTGAACTTAATCTAAAAAATTAATAAGACAGAAATATTCTGAGAAAGTCTCTGTTGTAGTGATTTTATCAAGAGCTCAGACCCACATGCAGAGAAACCAATACAGAGAGACCAGGGAAAAGGTTTAACATGTTTATTGAGAAGCTTGTGGAGGTTCCAGTCCACTCAGCCGGAACTGAAAGGTGAGGGGAAGACACTGCGGTTAGTTCAGGCTCAGTGGGAAAATTGATTCTCAAACGTGAAGAGGAGAAATGATTTGCAGACTCCCGTTTCCAGAAAAGTGGTTGACTCTTAGACTACAGCCTGTGTCGGGTGTTCCAGTGTTTGTCTGATTCAGTGGAGGGCGGACAGGGTTTACCCAGAATTGTTGTTTGTAGGAGAACGGAGAAACTGACTGCCACTCAGATTTCTTGCGGTACTTGAACGGACTTTGGTGCAGATGATTCCCTTGCTCAGTGTGAAACTCAAACGATTCCTTGGAGGAAAGTGGATCCAAATCCAACTATTTGACTTAAATCTGCATTGAATTAGATGCATAAGTAAGTAGAGCGCTCCATTGGAAGCTGCTGCCGCAGTGCATGCTACTGTTTCTCTAACGTCGCGCAGCTTTATCGTCACGCCCTCAAAACCCAGCCCACTTTGCATCCAGACATTCAAAACACATCTCTGCATTGTGATTGGCCCGCCAGTTCTAGGGCCTGGGGCATTGATGGAGGCTACACCACTGCAGGCGGGTGGGGCTAATTTACTAGGCTAAGTGTTTTTGCTTGTTTAATAAGAAACTGATTTACATTTCTATCTTTCTACAACATATAGATGTACATACACAAACATACATATATAGTGTGTGTTTTGAACTGCAGATAAAGTTATTTTGGAACTTTGATTCCACTTAAGACCGTTTTTGGATCAGATCAGGCTGAATTTATCCCCACCTCCATCTTTAACCATCAGTCAGGGGAACACTTGATGCATGGATCAGCATGTGATCACAGGGGCGGTATGACAGTATGGGTGTGTGTGTTGGTGAACAAATATGTTACTATTTTAAAAGTAATCCGAGGATTTTTCACTTGTCCTTAGTTATTTGTAGGTTTTTTTTTTAAATGTAAGCCCATAGAGAGTGTGAAAATGAATGGAAGGTCCTCTGTAAGAATTAAAAACAAGCATGTGTGTGTGTGTGTGTGTGTGGCCTCGTGTTTGCAGAAATGTAAACAAACAAAAGCAGAAACGGGAAGTGAAAATCCTAGCAATCCTAAAATGATCTGAGTCATTTTAAGGCTTGACTGAAGCTCCTCCCTCCTGCGGCGCTGACATGGTCGGCGACCCTGATCCGTGTTTTTCCCAGACGCCTCCTTTAGATGAAGGTTTGGAAACCATGAGGGGTTTCTGCTGCAGAAAGAGTCGAATCAGCAGCAGGACATCTGCAGCTGTCAGCACAATCGTGCTGAGCTCCGACACCCGTTTATCTTCCAGCTGATACGCTGACCTGCAGCTCCACTGGGTCCTCACATGAACACCTGCTGCTGATCTAACCTGCAGCAGGACCCCCCCTTACCCTCCTGCTGTGGTGGACTCCAGCCATAGGGACATGCTCTGGTTGCTGGGCTGGTAGAGAACAGAAGAACAATCTAAGTCTGATTAGATATTGAAAAGTTTTCTGGTTTCTGATATTCCAAAACAGATGCAAACGTGACTCCTAACATCATGCATGAAGTCTTCTGACCAAACAGGTCTGATCTACTGCAGGAGGTCTTAGGGAATGGAGACGTCTGATTGGTGCGGTGCGGTGCTCACCATTACTGAGATAAAATCAGTTGCGAGACCTGTGAGGTGTTTAAAGTCGTAGGGAAACGGGAAAGAGAATGTGATTGGTCGATTATCAAGGGGGCGGGACTGTTGTGACGGAAGTTTGAAAGCATGTTTGGTTGCAGCCGGTTTGTCGGAAGCATCATGCTAACCAGTTAGCATCTTAGTGCTAGCAGGTTCCCAATGGGAAATTCCATTGGGACCAAGTAGCACTAAATTGCTAACCAGTTAGCATCTTAGTGCTAGCAGGTTCCCAATGGGAAATTCCATTGGGACCAAGTAGCACTAAGTTGCTAACCAGTTAGCATCTTAGTGCTAGCAGGTTCCCAATGGGAAATTCCATTGGGACCAAGTAGCACTAAATTGCTAACCAGTTAGCATCTTAGTGCTAGCAGGTTCCCAATGGGAAATTCCATTGGGACCAAGTAGCACTAAATTGGTGACCAGTTAGCATCTTAGTGCTAGCAGGTTCCCAATGGGAAATTCCATTGGGACCAAGTAGCACTAAATTGCTAACCAGTTAGCAACTTAGTGCTAGCAGGTTCCCAATGGGAAATTCAATTGGGACCAAGTAGCACTAAATTGCTAACCAGTTAGCAACTTAGTGCTAGCAGGTTCCCAATGGGAAATTCCTTTGGGACCAAGTAGCACTAAATTGCTAACCAGTTAGCATCTTAGTGCTAGCAGGTTCCCAATGGGAAATTCCATTGGGACCAAGTAGCACTAAATTGCTAACCAGTTAGCATCTTAGTGCTAGCAGGTTCCCAATGGGAAATTCCATTGGGACCAAGTAGCACTAAATTGGTGACCAGTTAGCATCTTAGTGCTAGCAGGTTCCCAATGGGAAATTCCATTGGGACCAAGTAGCACTAAATTGCTAACCAGTTAGCAACTTAGTGCTAGCAGGTTCCCAATGGGAAATTCAATTGGGACCAAGTAGCACTAAATTGCTAACCAGTTAGCAACTTAGTGCTAGCAGGTTCCCAATGGGAATTTCCATTGGGACCAAGTAGCACTAAATTGCTAACCAGTTAGCATCTTAGTGCTAGCAGGTTCCCAATGGGAAATTCAATTGGGACCAAGTAGCACTAAATTGCTAACCAGTTAGCACCTTAGAGCTAGCAGGTTCCCAATGGGAAATTCAATTGGGACCAAGTAGCACTAAATTGCTAACCAGTTAGCATCTTAGTGCTAGCAGGTTCCCAATGGGAAATTCCATTGGGACCAAGTAGCACTAAATTGCTAACCAGTTAGCAACTTAGTGCTAGCAGGTTCCCAATGGGAAATTCCATTGGGACCAAGTAGCACTAAATTGGTGACCAGTTAGCATCTTAGTGCTAGCAGGTTCCCAATGGGAAATTCCATTGGGACCAAGTAGCACTAAATTGCTAACCAGTTAGCAACTTAGTGCTAGCAGGTTCCCAATGGGAAATTCAATTGGGACCAAGTAGCACTAAATTGCTAACCAGTTAGCAACTTAGTGCTAGCAGGTTCCCAATGGGAAATTCCATTGGGACCAAGTAGCACTAAATTGGTGACTTAGAAACGACGCTGTCAAGGAACGCTATGGACAGCGGAAACATGCAAGAGGAGGAGAGTTTAGTGTCGGAGGTCGTGGATGAGTCTCCTCCGTCATCCATTTTTTATTTAGAGGAGGAAAGCGGGGACGAAGATGTTGTGGAAGAGGACGCCAGGGCGGCAGAAGCTTGGTTTGGTGTAGAAGGCTTCCAGCCGTACATGTTTGAGCCCTTGCCTCGCAACGCTGCCAGTTCTGTTAGCTCTACGCCTGCCGAAGACACAGACGTCCATCCCCGTGAACACTGGGACGCAACTCAATGGGAAAGGAAAGGATTCTGGTTTCAACCGTTGCGTATATTAGCTGCGACATAAGAATCAAGATGCTATGACCGAAAACATTTGATTGACAGATGACCGTTGATATATGATTGGCCGAATTTAGGTGTTCAGGCTGACGTAGAACTAATGGAAATGGAAAAAAAACACAGATTTTAAGACAGGATTTATTTAAAAATAGAAATTTTCTAAATTTTGGGACAATATTGTTTGATAAAGAGAACATTTATATACATGTTTAAGCCAGAATGATTTGACATTTAAATATGATTTCCTTCTGACTTTAAGGTAAAATTTCGCCCATCTGTCACATGTTGAGGACACATCTTTGTCCTCTGTCTCTTTTCCCTGAGGGACATTCTGGCCTGGGAGAACCCTAGGGGGCACCACAGTTTTTTCGCTTTTGGTTCATCATCACTGTGGCAATGAACTGCTGAGTGGGCGTGGCTTACTGTGTCCTAGTAAGGTCAAACAAAGCCACGACCTTCTGTCTTAAAGTCATCAACACGGAGCATCAAACTCCTCTACATCTTCCCTGCCGGTTTACAAGCATGAGGACGAACTTTCTGAAGTGGACCTGCAGATCTAGTTTAGGTTTCTGTTTCTTTGTGTTTATTTGAATAAATAAATCTTTGCTTATTTTCTTTCCATTAAAAACAAAAAAGCAGAACTTAGTAATAATTAAACTCTGAAGAGTTTGGTGTTTTTCTTTGTTCTCTCAGTGCTCTCATGTTCTGCAGCTTTATTCTAACGTTCTCCAGGTGTCGGTCGGCTGTTTCTGAGGCGTAAATCTGTAGAACGGCCCGGTAATCACACCTCCAGCCGTCGCTAATGTTTGTCAGTCAGATGAGACCTCGCTGTGACCTGCAGGTATCTGTGTCAGCTGAGCAAAGTGCAGCAGCTGTTATCAGACTGGATAACCGGACTGAGCTGGTTTCTGATAGTCCTGACACTGTTTGTCATGTGTGACCTGCAGCATGCTGAGGATCTGCATCATTACTCCTGTTGCTCTGCTGCTAGGCTGCATGAATCCGGGCCTTTCTGTCACTCAGAGGAATGTCCTCCCCTGAATGCTGCAGAGTCGGCCTGATAACTCAGGAACCTCTGCTGCTGTTGGTCAGAGACGGTTGAACACATGATGCGGCGTGCGAGCCGTTTCTTGGAGTTTGTCCCAAATAGACACAAACAGGAAAACGAGGAGCAGCCGGCTTTTCTCCGTCAGCCCTTTTCGCTTCCCCTTTTTCTCCAGGAGGCCTCCTCAGAAGGGAGAGGAGCATTTTCACCATGACTCACTCCTCCTCCTCCTCCTCAGTGTGAAGTTCAGATCCTGGACAGGCGCTGATCCACCAGTGAAACATGTTCAAATCAACCCTGATAATTCCAGCTGTTCCTCCTGAAAGTGCTGAAGGTCCGATGGACTGTTGGAGCGATACAGGAAGTTCAGCTCCATGATCCTCTGAACCTCCCTCTGCATCTACATTCAGTTCAGTTATCATGTTATTGATTTTTATCTAATAACGGAATAAAGAAACATTTAATTAGCTCAAAGTTTTATTCTTTAATTATTACAACTTTAATGTCATTGAAAGTGGATTTCACATTTTACAAAAAATGGAAATCTAAATGAGTCATTTCTGCTTAAATTAAGTGCATTTTTTCTTGAATTGAGGAGCTAATTGAGATAATTTGCATATTTACATTTAAAATAAGAAAAAAACAATTGCTTTGTCTTGTTTCGAGTGCATTTTATCTAGTTATCTTGTTTTAGGAGTAAAAATACTAGTTCCATTGGCAAATCATCTTATTTATCTGCTAAAATTAAAGGTAAATACACTCAATTTAAGAATTTTTTTACTTAATTCTAGATGGTTTTTGCAGTGCATTGAAAGTGGAACTGACAGCTTGGAGCACTGCAAAATATATCTAAGTAAGACTTTTTTTTCTTAAAATAAGTGCATTTTTCTTGAATTGAGCAGGTATGTGAGTCACTTTGCCAATAGGAGAAGACAATTTACATTTAAAATAAGACAAAACAACTGCAGTCTCTTATCTCAAGTGCCTAATATCTAATTTTCTTATTTTAAGGGTAAAAACGCTAATTCCATTGGCAGATCGTTGTATTTTCCTACTCAACTTAAGGGTAAATTCACTTATTTTAAGAAATATTTACTAATTTTTTAAATGTTTTTGCAGTGAGAGAACCAGCTTTCAGACAGACCCTGGTTCTGGAGGGTTAGACCCGGACCCCCACAGGTCCAACCCCCCAGGAACTCCATCCTGCGTGATATTTCTGTGCTTTCAAAGTTTTTTTTGGGTCTGAATGCGTTTGGTTGTTTAGAAACAGGAAGTGAGCTTCGTCATCTAAGAACCTGAGCGGAAGAATATTGACACATAGGAGAAAGTCTCCAGTCTGACATCAGAGCATTCTGATCAGGACACACCCGGAGCTAAAGTATTTACACACTGGAAAAAATCTAAATCTAGATAAGTCATTATTCAATAAAATAAGTGCATTTGTTCTTTAATTTAGAAGGTAAAAGACTTATTTTGCCAAAGAAACAAGATAATTTACATTTAAAATAAGAAAATACAATTTTATTGTCTTATTTTACCTTATTTTAAGAGTAAATATACTCATTCAATTGGCAAATCATCTCATTTACCTACTCAAATTAAGGGTAAATTCACTTAATTTGAGAAATTTTTACTTATTTCTAGATCTTTTTTCCAGTGCGCCCCAGTGAGGAGGAAGAAGGAGGGTTTATTGTAGCAGATTCAGGGCTTATTGTGGCCTAGTCAAAGTCTGGGCGCTAAACATCCAATTTCTTTCCATTATTGCTGCATCAAAAAAGATGTAATGTAAAGACATAATGAAACACAAAAAATAAAAAATAAAAAAATGAACTTTTACATTTTTTGACTATCTTCTCAGATTACATTTTTTTTTCAAATGTATTTAAAATTTACTGTTTCTATTTGATCCAATGTAATTTCTTTACAAATGTCTCTTTTTTTTGCATTTATGTTTATAATTTTTGTTTATTGTTCTTTACAGATCACATTTAGGACGCTTTCTATGGGCCTCTGGATGACAGCTACAACTTTTTAATTGCTCATGAAGGAAATATGAAAGAAAATTGAAAAAAACAGCAATTTAAAATCAAAGCTGAGAAAACAATAAAGTTACCCGCAAATTTTTTTGTTTCTTAACCTCTTACACCCTAAGGGGGTATAAATAAATTTCTGCCTGACAAAAACACACAAAAGTAAATCACTTATAGCCTCAAAGCTATTAGATTTAAGAAGAAACCTTTGGTACGTCTGTAAAGGTAAGATGTCATAGAATGGTTTTCTGGTGTCAGCACCATTGTAGCTTTGACCCTGCCTGAAATATTAGGGACAAAATACAAAATATTTTGCATTTTTTGAACCTCGCCAAAATTTTCTTTGAAATAAACATTGCAAAACACTACCAAAATATTATTTATAGCACAAAAAAGTAGTACAGACTTTTAAATCTAAATGTTGTGTAAAAATATACCAAATTTGGACTCAATCAGATGAATCATATTTATTTTAGAATGGTATTAGTGAGAAATTTCTTAGGCGGAGAGGCCATTTTGGCACATTTATCCAGAAATGTCACCAAACTGTGCCAAATGTGTTTTTTACATCAATACTGGGGGTTTGGTAAAATTACGAGGTCACGTAGCAGCTGGACCCACCGGTGGGTCCGTCGGGTTCTAGGGGTTAAGAGGCTTTTTTTGTGTTTTTTTTTTTATTTTCATTTAAAAAACTATCCAGCCCCCTTTTTAAATCTCATGTCAAAAATCTCAGGGTAACATTTGATAACGGGCTCAAATTTGACAAACAGATCAGCTCTGTTGTCATCTCGAGCTTTTTCAGCTCCGTCTTTTGGCCAAAGTCGCGTCTTTTCTCAGTCGGCAGGATCCTTCTTTTTGGCCAAAGTCGCGTCTTTTCTCAGTCGGCAGGATCTTGAGAAGGCAATCCATGCTTTCATTAGTTCAAGACTGGACTACTGCAATGGCCTTTACGTTGGCCTCAATCAGTCATTAATTTCTCGTCTCCAACTTGTGCAGAACGCTGCTGCCCGATTTTTTAACAAACACTTCCAGACGTGAACACATTACTCCTGTGCTGTCGTTGCTCCACTGGCTTCCAGTCCGTTTTAGAATCGATTTTAAACTTCTGCTGTTTGTTTTTAACGCCATCCATGGCGTGGCGCCCTCTTACTTGTCTGAGATTTTAACTTTCCGCAATTGTAGCAGAGCTTTACGCTCCTCGGGTCAGCTTCTATTAGAGGTCAATAGGTCAAGGCGATGGTTCTTTTGCCGTCGCTGCTCCCAGACTGTGGAACAAACCACCCCCTGACATCCGCACCACTACTGACCTCAGCCTTTTTAAAAAAAAGCTTAAAACCCACTTTTTAATTTAGCTTTTAATTCTGACTATAATACTGGTTCTTAGATGTCATCTTTCTGTCTGCTCCTTTTTATGCACCTCTGGAAGGCTTTTAATGTCCTGCAGCGCTGCACCAATACAGCACTTTTAATTGTATCTTGTATGTTTTTATATGTGTTATGTATTGTTTTTATGGCTTTGTTGTAAAGCACATTGGGTACCATTTGGCTATTTTAAAGGGCTACAAATAAATTTGATTTGATTTAAAAACTCACCCTTACTTGCACCCAATGTTCATATTTAAAAAGAAGAAGTTCATTTGGTAAATCATCCCTGCTACCAAGCAAACATGAATGATGCTCGCTGCTGCTTACCTTATGAAGGCTGCACTTTAAAACATGAAATCGTCCAGATAGCTGTTCTGAAACTACATTTCTTTTTGTTTACACTTGTTTATACAAAATGACAAAATAAATCTGAGTCTAAATGAAGCCACAATCCTCCACAAAAGAAGCTCATATTTCCCCCTTTAAATGTGCGATCATAATATGTAGAAAGAAATGGAAAATACTTGATGCAGTCAAGGTTTACAGTGAAGCCTTTATTTAGCCGAATAACCAGAACTTTAGAAATATACAGGAACATTCAGGTTCTGCTGAGAAGATCTGGATCCAAAAGGATTTCTTACGTTTCTCGTTCAGTAGCAGATATTTCCAAAGCTAGCTTGGATGCTTTAGCTTGATGTGTCGCTTTAAATTTGGGCGTGGCTGATGTACGGACTTGTTTGTTAAGTCCCGGTGCAGAGGGCAGAATCTGCACAAAACGTCCGTTTTTTTCTGTCCCAGTCTTCCTTTGTTAGTTCATCAAACTCTGCCAAGCGCTCTGCTAAACCAAGAAATACCAGATGAGTCTGAACTGCGCAGGATAGAACTAGCAGCAAACATGCTGTTTGTCATAATAAGTCCTGTAAAACATGACGTTGCAATGAAAAGCAGTATCATTAATTGAACAGGCGTCGCTCATCAGCTCAGCGTGAACCTCGCTCTCGTTCATTACTTTAAAACTGATCCATTCAGTTCACCGTTCACTAAAAATATGGACGTATCCAGTGAACGTTTTCATGCACAACAGTATTTGCAACAATAATGGAAAAAAATTCACTCCATACATCAAACCCTCTGGTTTAAACTGCAGGAGTTGAGGGGTGTGAATACTTTATCCAAGCTTGAACAAAGCCAAAGCTTAATATAAGCCTAGAATCACCGTCTTCCTTTCACTTTAAATCCATGAATACACTGCAAAAAATAGAAATCTCAATAAGTTATTTTTTCTTAAAATAAGTGTGTTTTTCCTTGATTTGAGGAGGTAAGTAAGACACTTTGCCAATGGAACAAGACAATTTCCTTTTAAAATAAGAAAAAACTATTTTATCGTCTTATTTCAAGTAAATATTATCTAACTATCTTATTTTAAGAGTAAAAATACTCATTCCATTGGCAAATCATCTTATTTACCTGCTCAAATTAAGGCTAAATATACTTAATTTAAGCCATTTTTTACTTATTTCTGGATTGTTTTTGCAGTGTACGCACTGGAAAAAAAATCGAAATCTAGATAAGTCATTTTCTCTTAAAATAAGTGAATTTGTTCTTGCATTGAGGAGATAAAAGAGACATTTTGCCAATGGAACAAAGCAATTTACATTTAAAAAAGTATTATTTCTAGTGCACGCTATCTAATTATCTTATTTTAAGATTATAAATAGAAATTTTTACTTATGTGTAGATAATTTTTCCAGTGCACTGCAATAAATTTAAATCCAAATTATTCATTTCTTCTTAAAATAAGTTGATTTTTGCTTGAATTGAGGAGGTAAGTGATTCACTTTACCAATGGAACAAGACGATTTACATTTAAATAAAAAAAAAGCATTGTCTTTTTTCAAGTGCATATTATCTAATTATCTTATTTTAAGAGTAAAAATACTCATTCCATTGGTAAACTATCTAATTTACCTACTTAAAGTAAGGATAGATGCACTTAATTTAAGACATTCTTACTTATTTCTAGATCGTTTTTGCAGTGTGGAAAAAAATTGAAATCTAGATAAGTCATTT